GTCGTGCTGGGGTCTGGTCGTGCTGGGGTGTGGTCGTGCTGGGGTATGGTCGTGCTAGGGTGGGGTCGTGCATTTCGCTCGAGACATCCTGCCAAAATTCCAGGAAATCGTACAAAAACAAACGAATTAGTCGAGACATCATCGAAATTCCTTCGCGCGGGGCGCTTTTCCGCGTCGCGGTCGGCTCTGCAAAACAAGCGTTTCGCTCGAGACATCCTCGGCAAACTCTGCGGAGCAAGCGTTTCGCTCGAGACATCCTCAACACACGAAAAAGTGGCCCGCACCCTGTGATTTATCGATCGGGATTTCAAAAACAAGCGTTTCGCTCGAGACATCCTCAAATTTTAATTCGCCGGCCTCCTTCGACCTCGTTATTTATCAGGGAAAAAATTCGCCGGCCTCCTTCAAGTTGGCACCGGGGGACAGGTTTACCCACTAAAAGAGAACCCTGGGCCCAGGCCCTTTCCGGGAAAAAACGTCGCCCTTTGCTCCCTAATTCCCTCTCGGGGGGGGGCAATGGAGGGGGGGGCGCCCGTGCCGTTCCACTGTCCTTCGGGCCCCGGGGGCGGTGGAGGGGGGTCGCCAGCGGGGCCCCGGCGCGCGCCGCCGCGACCTCGGAGAGGGCATCGGCCGAATCGCGTTCCGTGGCGGCGCCCGTCTCAACTATGCTCAGCGTGGGCTGAAACAACCGAGGCCAAGCCCCTGGCCGCCCCGACGCCCGCATCGCCGCGCGCATCGGCAATTCCAAATGAAGGACATGAGCTGAGAAAACGAAATTGAATGTTCATTAGGCGCATGGTATATTCCAATGATGAGGCCCATTTTCAACGCGCTACGGAAAAATGCTTCGCGCAGGCTTGGAATGCCGCGAATCGCGACATCCCAATGTCGCCCCCTTCAACATCCGACGACCGTGCGCGAACGAGCGACTCGCGCACCGCACTCCGCATCCTCCCCATCATTACATTGGAACTAGAGCAGTGAGTGCGTCTCTCGTCGTTATCCCGTGCGTAGTGCGATCTTTCGACGTGAATCGGTGGCACCCAGTCCACGCAAAGGCTCGCCTTGGCCTTATGTTTGGCCATGTTTGCCAAATATTAGCCGCTGAAGCCATCGGCAGGGGTTCGTCGACTGCCGCGCCGCGAATGGAATATTGGAGAATGAAATGTGGGGGTCGGGCGCAGGGCGCCGGCGATGCTCTCTCCATGGGCCGCGCATGGGCGACGCGTCTTCGATTGCTGTGTTCGGCGGGGGAACCAATTGAAGCTCCCCGCCTGCGCCCGCGCGCGAGACTTGAAGGCGGGCGAAGCATGGGGGCGGGGGGCTGGAGGGCGGCGACGAAGGCAACGCGCGCTGAGCGCGCAAGAAGAGAAGGTCAGCATAAACGAAAACGGCGAGGAAAAGTGCCAAAATCTGCCCAGCCAGTCTGGCGCGCGGAACACTTCGCCTCAGTTGTGGGAGTATTCAGGTCCAAAGCAACATGCGAATTCACATTGTGGGGAAAAGCACATGTGAACCCACATGTTGGGAAACAGGACAACGTGAATTCACATGTTGGAAAAAGGCCAAGGTCAAAATCAAGCCTGCGCGCCTGCGAAGGGGCGGCCGCTTAGGGCACAGACGGGTGATAACTGGCAGACGCTCATGTGGTGAAGAAAATGTCTTGTCATGCAATTCCTAGAATGTGGGTCTTTGGCTGCTGCGCTCCAGTCGCCGATCCCATATGCTTGTCGCAGACACTGGGCATCAGATTCACGCGTCTTCCGCGGTCTCCCTTGGAACCTGTTTCCGGCGGGTGACCGCGCAAGAACGCGCGACGGCCATCCGTCGGCAGGCAGGTTGGCGACGTGCCCGGCAAAGTTCCAGCATTGGCGAAGCAGTGCTTCCGACCAAGTTTGGAGAAAGAAAATGTAAATTCACATTTGGGAATTGCGTGCGAATATGTGCGACGGGGCCAGAATGTGAATTCACACTCTGGGCAGCAAGAACATGCGAATTCACACGCTGGGGACGTGGAGCGTGTAAATTCGCAGTTTGGGAGAATCGCGGGGCCATTCCAAATCTGTTTGGTGTCGATAGGTTATCGTTTGGGACGCGCGCGATCATCGATCGCGCGATCAAGTCGAACTTGCAGCCCGCTTCGCCGCCGCGCGCGCGATGCGCAGGAGCGCCTGCGCGCGCTAGGCCGAGGCCGGCATGCGCGCGACCGCGCAGCGGCCCGTGCGTCATCCCAAGCGGCCCCGCTCGAGCGAACAACTCCTTGGTGCCCAAAATTGATTCCCGACCTGCTCCGTGTTGGGCCCGATGCAAGACTTTCCGAGATGCGCGCTCAAAAATCTGCAGCGCGGGAAGCTCGCGCGCCAGCTGTCCTCGCGATGTTGAACCACTCGTGCCGCGGTGGAACCTCGCTGGCAATCGGCGCCTTCGCGGGCCCCTCTGGTCGATCATCCAGGTGGCGATGGCGCTCGCGCAGATGCCGCCCCCGCTGCGCGGCCCCTGCCGCTGGGCCGGCGCAGAGCGGTGGCGTTCGGCAGAATGTATACTTGTGCACAGTGCGCCCCAATCTGGTCACTCACGGGCCCGGCCCTGCATCTCCTCGAAACCTCGACGGCATCGGCGACAATCCTGGCCCCGGATGGCAAGCGAGAGCAAGGGGCTGGAGCGAGAATCCACCGGGCACGAGACCCTCAACCCTCCGATGCTCGCCGCACACCTCTGCTGAAATCGCGAGTCGGCCCATTGCTCTGGGGGGCACCGCCCTCCGACGCCCTCATTGCAGAGGGCCCCTTGGGACCCAAGGCCAGCGGCTCGGGATGGCCATTCGCGTCGCCGACGAAGGCGGGGCCAGACCGAGATTCGGCCTCAGGCGCCGACGGCGAAGCAACTTTGGCGAGGTCGCCCTGAAGCCCCCAGCCACGGCGGACCCCCTGGGCGCGCAGAAGAGGCTAAATCGACCGCGGCGGCGCTCCAGTGGAGGCCGCGCGCAGAGGGGAGGGCCTGGGGCAACGAAGAGCCCGGGCAGCAATTCTCCAGGGCCCATGGGCCTTCCTCGTCGGGCCACTCCTTCCAATTCATTTATGTAACTACAGTGCGTGGCGCCCCGGCTCACGCAGACGGAGAAGCACCTTCCTCTCCCTCATCTTTGGCGGGGGTCGCGCGCCGGGGTTGCTCGCGGCAGTTGCATAAAACAGGGCGCGAAACTTAACGGCCGAGAGGTGGTCGGCACATCTTGGCACGACCAGGAGCAGCCAGCTCGCTGCGGGTGGGCTGGGCGGCTCCGAGACAGTGTGTCTGAAGATGACCTCTGGAGAGCAACCGCTCCGCTCCCTCGCTGGCGCGCCCCGAATGCCGCGCCGAAGCCTGCCGCGAGGTCGGTCGAGCTGAACCGGCAAGAAAGCGCGGCCCTGCTCCTCGCGCCTTCTCGTCGCAGGGGCGCAGCGAGGACTCAGTATGGATGCGAGTCTCCGCTGGCGCGAGACTGTCGCAGCCCTTCAACTGCCTCTCCGCAGGGAGCCACGACCGCGCCGCATCCCCCATCCATGTGATGCTCCGATCACGGCGTCGCGATGTAGTGCTCAAACAAACTGGTTCCTCGGAGGCGGGCCCCTAGGCAACGCAGGACGGGGAATCCCCGCGCCGGTCCCCCTGCGCTGCCGCTGCCTGTCGCTCCTGGTGGCCCGTGCCCTTGGCCGCCTGCGCCGCGGCCGCCTTCTTCGTCCCGGACACCTTCTTGGCATCCGCCTCGATCGCTGCCTCCTCCTCGGCTGCCGCCGCTGCCGCTGCCGCCGCCGCTGCGCCGACGGGGTCAGCACTATTCGTTGCGGGGGCGGCGGTCCCTGCGTGCTCATGGCCATCTCCTGGGGCGGCCTCCCCGTCGGGGCCGCGGCGTTCCTTGGCCATGCGCGTCTCCAGCTCTCCAGCTCGGTCCGCATCGTTGCCAGTTGGCCGAGCCACGAGCGGACCTAGGATTTCTTTGCATGCACAGCTCCCGCCGTTTGGTCCAGGTTGGCCTTGAGCGTGCGGAGGGTCTCCTTCTAGGTGTCTTCCAATTCGAGAGCGCCGATGCTCTCGAAAAACTTCGCGTCCTAGGTGCACTGGAAAATGGGCTGCGTTCCCCCAGCGCCTTCCTGGCCCTTGCCACCTTTGCCCCCGACGCCCTCGGCATGGGCAGGGGCCTGGGTAGCGGCGCGCCGCGCTGCTTGCGCGCGCGCCACCTCCACTGCCGCCTGGGCCTCTTTCTGTTCGGCAAGCGCCAACTGGCTCCGTAACCGCACCACATTCGCCGCAAACTGCCCGTGGCGGTGGTTGGCATCTCGGAGCTAGCTGTCGGCGCGCAGCAACGCTTCCACGGGAATCGGTGGACCCAACAACCCTGTCCTTCTCGAGCTGCTGGACCTGCTGTTGCAAGTTCTTCTTCAGATTGGCATCGTCGCTGGCCTCCACCGCGAACTGGAGGAGCTTGGTGACCGCTGTGGGGAGGGCGCTGCCATGACCAGGCGAGCGGGAGCGAAGGATACCATTGGGTTGCAGCAAGGTGCCCGCTATGTCCTCGGTCCCGTCGAACCCCACATGGTTATTTCTCTTTTCCTCCCGTTCTGCAAGCTAGATCTCTTGCCCTTGCAGAGCTCCACCTGCTGCCCGCAGTGCTTACAAGCGCAATCAGAACGCTGGGGTATATCGTTGCACTCGCCCCGTTTGCACCCTGCGCATTGGGTGCAGTGTCGCATAACCGCTGCCATTGCTGAAATCCTCGGTTTTCGTCGGCGATCGCACGATCCAAAACTGACTAGGCGTTCGATCGCGGTCCCTTAAGTGCCGCGGGAAGGCACAGAGGCATCTGAGCTCTCCAAAATGGCTCGAGCCCCAATGTTACTTGAGGGAGGAGGAGGAGGAGGAGGAGGAGGAGGAGGAGGAGGAGGAGGAAGAAGAGAACCAAGCGGGGGGGAGGGGACCGGCCAGTTGGCAGGGAAAGCCGGGCGGAGAGGGATCCAAGGCAGGGCCTGCTCCAGCTCCCGCTCCACATTGCTAAAGCCAGCGGCCAGCACTATGCAGACCTGCCATCGGTGCGTCAAGAGGCGGGAGGAGAAAGCAATGGAAGACGGAGCAGGAAAAAAGAAGGGAGGCGAAAAAAGTAAGATAGGATGGAAAAAACACGAGCAAGATCAGGAGAAGCCCGATAGCACGCGCGCGGCGCAGAGCAGCGGCAGCGCGTCGTGAGGCAGACTGCGGGACCGAATTGCACGCTCTGGAACATCCGCCGACCCTTCGGCGTGTGAGAGACGTGTCGTCGCCGTCGTCAGTGTCCAGGAACTTGAGGAACAAGGACGAGGCACGCTGTCGTTGACTCGATCCCCTTCCCTTGATCCCCGGGGCGGGGCCCCGGTCCTAATACCGCCCCCTCCCGGGCTCCTGGCGGGTCCCGGGGGTCGGCGATGGACAAACCTCCCTTTAGTAAACCTCCAGACCTTGACCCGAAGGCTCGCGTGCTCAACATTCTACTCACTCTCATCCCCATGCTACTGCAGCCATTCAACCCCTCACTTCACTACATGACCCCAGGCCTGACACGGACCCTGTTTTGCGACACGCGCAACAAGTTGCCGTGTGATGAATACGGCCTGGGACCGAAACCGACGGACCTGGACCCACAAAAATGACGGCCGTGACGCCCTCTCGCGAACCGAAAACGGCCAAGTCGCTAATCGACGTGACAGGGTAGGAGGTCTGTCCACCCCCGAGGGGGGGGGTCGGGGATCTGCTGACCCGAATCAATCCAGACCCGGGTCAGTCAGGCCTTGCAAGCTCCTGCAACATCCTACAAGGTCCTGCACCCAAACCCGGGTCGATGCCAAGGCTCTTGCGGGATCCTGCACCCAGACCCGGGTCAGCGCGACCCTGGCCCTGCAAGATCCTGCAAGATCCGGCGCTCTGGCTGACCCCCGTTTGCATTGACCCCCAAGGCTCCCGAGGGGGGGCCGCCAGCCGGGGTCCCGGGGGAGGTCCCGCCCCCAGGGTCGGCGGCACCGGCCCGAAGGCCTGCGCCAGGGTGGGCGGCATGGGGCAGGGCAGCGGAGCACTTGTACCGCGGCAGCTCCAGAGCACGGGGGGGGAGCCTCGAACCGCAGAGGGCGAGCACGCAGATCCGGACCCGAAGAACGCTGGCGCATGGACGACGCAGGGTCATTCCGGCATGCAGGTCCAGCGCCTACGTGAGCACAGGCCAGGATAGGCACAAGAGGCCTGAGCGAAGACTGAACCACAGGGCTCGACACCCGCGCACCCTCCTCAAAGAGCTCACCCCTCGCAAAATGGAGATGGTCGAAAACTCTGACTTGGGGCGGGGGGGGCGGGCTCGCAAGAAGAACTGCAGAGAAAACTCCTCTCTTTTGATGGTGCCCGTCCGTGGAACGCGGAACTCACCACTCGCTCTTGCGGAAAAAACATGGGATCCCAGACACTGAAACGGCCAGCATGCAACAGTGATACATGCAACGCGTCGCCCAAGTCTGGGAGAAAGGGCTGGCACAATCGGAGGGCCAGGTGCAACAGGAGATACTCACCCTTTCGCGGAGGAAGCAACGTAAAGACGAACCGAACACCAAGTCTGGGAAACACTAAAAATCGCCGAACGCGTAGCCAAATAAATAATGCACTGGGCATGACGGTTCGTGCATACCTGAAACTATACCAAATCCGAGATGCTGTCGATCCGCAACTCCTCCCCGGGACGCCTAATCAGCAACGACGATACAGATGCGAGAATTCGTCAACGAGGCATCTTGAGGGACCAGGCGGGCGCTAGTCGGGCCGACTGTCAAGTAACATGTGCATGTGAGGGGCCACTTAACATAGGATACCGTGCAAGTTTGATGTGCTCCTACTTCCTGCAACGTGCTCATCACGAGGTCTGACGTATATGTTCCCCATAACGTGGGAAGGCGTGATGAGTGCGCAATATCTCTCTCTATGCTTGTTTAGATGGCTACAGGAGCTTGTGCAATAGTGCATCTATGTTAATATACCTATACGACCACCCTTCGGGTGATAAGGAGGTTGAGGGGGGGGAAAGGGTGGGAACCAACATCTGACTCAATCGATCTCACAATCGATCTCACTCAACCGGACACCACTGGACACCACGGGACACCGCGGGACACTTGTCGATCTCACTATCGATCTCACTCAACGGGACACCATGGGACACCACGGGCCACCACGGGACACCACGGGACACCGCGGGACACCACGGGACACCGCGGGAAACCTCTCGATCTCACTGTCGGTCTCACTATCGATCTCACGATCGATCTAACTCAACTGGACACCATAGGACACCACGGGACACCACATCGATCTCACCATCGATCTCACTATCGATCTCACTGTCGATCTCACTGAACGGGAAACCACGGAACATCACGGGACGCCTGTCGATCTCACTATCGATCTCACTTTTTGGGACACCACGGGACACCTCGGGGCAACAGATCGACCTCAATACCTATCTCACTATTGATCTCACTCAACGGGACACCACGGGACACCATGGGACACCGCGGGACATCACGGGACATCGCGGGACACCGCGAGCCACCTCTGGACGGGCGGGAGGGGGAGAATCATTTGTCTTGACTTCGCCCTACCAACGGCGGGACACCATGGAACACCACGGGACACCACGGGACACCGCGGGACACCACGGGACACCGCGGGACACCGCGAGCCACCGCCAGAAGGGCGGGAAGGGGAGAATCATTCGTCTGGACGTCACCCTAGCAACGGCGGACACCACGGGACACCACGGGACACCACGGGACACCGCGAGACACCGCCAGACGGGTGGGAGGGGGAGAATCATTTGCCTGGACTTCGCCCTAGCAACGGCGGGTTCATTCCTCTCGCGCGCCCACGCAGCTTCGCCTCGCCCGCACGTGCGACACGAATGAAACGAAACGATTTCCCGGCTGGGGGTCTCCGTTCCACTGCGATCTCACCCCCCAACCTCCGACATGTCTGATTACACATGCCAGAATGAGGGGGCCGAAAGGTCATACACCGTCCCTGGGTGTGGCTGCAATGCAGCTCCGAGGTGCGGATATCGGTTCAGGTTGTTGGTCGTCGTCCTACGCCACGACCCGCCCGCCAAATACCTGCCGCCGACCCGATCGCGACCCAGCATAGGCCCACCCACACTGTTTGACAAAGAAGTCGGCGCCTACGGCGGGCTTCTTCACATTTGCTGTCGAGCCCCGCGAGATGCCGACGACCCCCTCCACCCCTCGCTCGTAACCAACACTTTGGGGGCTATGGTATACACGCACGTGCGCATGCGTGTAGAACTAAGCACAAACATGAACATCATATACAAATGTAGAGAGGGGGCAGCTGTTGCTGCTGCTGGTGATGATGATGGTGATGATGCGGATGATGCTGATGATTATGACGATGATGATGATGATGATGATGATGATGATGCTGATGATGATGATGAGGATGATGATGATGATGACGGTGGCGATGCTGATGATGAAGACGATTGTGATGGTGATGACGGTGATGATGGTTGTGGTGGTGATGATGATGATCATCATGATGAAGATGATGATGCTGATGATGACGATAAGGATGATGATGATGCTGATGATGATGATGATGATGATGATGATGAGTACGACGACGATGATGACGATGACGAAAATGCTAATGCTGATGCTGACGATGCTGATCATTAGTATGATGGTTGTGGTGGTGATGATGCTAATGCTGAATATGGTGATGATGATGATCATGCTGATGCTACTGATGATGATGCTGATGATGAGGCTGATTATGCTGTTGATGATGACGGTGGTGATGATGGTGATGAAGATAATGATGCTGCTGCTGATGCTGATGCTAATGCTGATGATGCTGCTGCTGATAATGATAATGATAATGATAATGATAATGATGATGATGATGATGATGATGATGATGATGATGATGATGATGATGATGATGATGATGATGATGATGGACGAATGTCCTGGGCCTCCCTGGACCCCCCAGCGCATGAAGGGGCTCGACGAAAGCAGGATGAGACTACATGCGGATGAGGCTGACTTGGGCATCTCTGAGAACTCGGGGATGTGGAACATGTACTGGGCGCCGATGCCACTCCAGAGCGCTCCGGATCGCTCCGAGAGCCTGCCCGCACGATCTGGAGCGACGTATCCTCATCCCAGGCTTCCCGCCACCCGGGGCCTCCCGGAGCCTCCCAGCAGCGACTCGCCGACGTCTCCAAAGTGGCTTTCAAGATAGCGCTCGGAGCACAAACGAAACATGACAACCACCGTGTGTTGAAGCTCGTTTGGTCTGTCGGCTGGTTTGCTCCGCAGAGGCCCTCCGATTGCTTAAACACAACTTCTACATAGCAATGCCGTTCCAATGCTGCCCACGGTTATCCCAAAATGGCCTGGAAGAGCGAATGGAGGGGGGACGAGGACGCGGCGGGGGGGAAGGGGGGAGAGGAGAGGAGCAGGGGGAGCAGGAAAGAGAGAGAAAGAGAGAGAGAGAGAGATGGAGAAATAGAGATACAGAGGGAGAAGGAGAGAGAAAGCGAGATTGGAGGGCTAGGAAGAGAGAGACAGAGAGCGAGTGAGAGAGAGAGAGAGAGAGCTGCGCACGGGGCACCTGCTGTTCCGCCAGGCCGCGGAGGGGAGGAGGCCGAGGAGGAGCAGCGGCGACGGCGGGCGTAGACGGAGGCCGCGGAGGCAGCGGCGGGGGACCCGACGACAAGCAGCACATCGCAAGCACAAGCGTCAGAGCGAAGGATCAGCGGCGAGCGAGGGGGGGAAGCGAGAGGGAGAAGGCCTTTTCCAAACGGCGGCGGGGCTGCTCAGAAGCCCTCGCGCCTTCTGGGAAGTGCTCTGTGTCCTCGGGGAAGGCTCCGACAACATCTCAGAAGGCTGGGGGACTTCCGCGCCTTCTGAGAAGGCCCGCTCCTTCTCGCTTCCCCCCCTCGCTCACCGCCGAAACGAGGAGCACGGGAGGGAGGAGCGAATGTATCGAGTGATCGGATGTGGGGAGCGAAGGGACGGCTAGACCTGGCCGTCGCTCCGCGCCATGGTGCCCGAGCGCCCTGTCGGCTGGCAAGGAAGGGGGGTGGGCGCCGCCACAAGCACGACCTGCTGCTCCTTTTCCTGCCTGCCATCTCTTCCTCCGCATCATATTCCTCTCTCTCTCCCTTTCTTTCGATACCCTGAACACCTTCTGCATCCATTGCCCTTCCAGCTCCCTGCCTTCCCGTAAGACCCTGGAGATTGCCTCCGTGCTGTCCTCGACTGCGAAGGAGCAGGATCGGTGGAGGAGACATGGGTAGAGGAAGGGGAGGAAAAGAAGACACTGGTGGAGGAGATATGGGTAAAGGAGACATGGGTGGAGGCAGAGAAGGAAGAGAAGACGAATGAGGATGCATGATCATGGATTCCCCCTCGCCACTCCACATGCACATCCACGCCCCGCCCTCGACCTCCAATCTCCGGCCTCCTCCTCGCGGCACTCGGCACCATTGCCGCCGGAACAGAAATGTGCTCCTCATGGAGTCGGTCCGATGTGTGGGGTGGTTTCCAGCTCGCAAAACGTAGCGAGCAGGAGTATGGGGTTGGCATCGAGGCGAAGCTGGTCGATCGCTGTACCATCGCGACGGAGGTGCGGGCGGATTTCCTCGGCATTCAGAGGCCTCCGTCGTCGCCAGACGCGGCAGACGAGGTGCTCAGTCAAGAATGGTACGAGACGGCAAGGACCGAACGCTGGGCGGGGTCCACGCGACGGTCGGGATGTGAGTCTCGACCCAGGCGGAGCCGCAGGACAGGACTCATGAGATGACAACCGCGACAAAGCATGGGATCCAACTGTGAATGTGGGCGGTACGACGGACCGCTGATGATAAATATCACCAATGATGCCGCAGCAATCGGAACGCTCGTCGGGGACCACCCCGCAGGTCGTGGCGGGGGGACGAGGGGGCCACGGCGGGCATACACGAAACTGCCCCGCGACCGTGCGGAGCAAGAGGGCTGGCAACGAGCGCGTGTGAGGCCGCCACACGGTGCTGCCCGAACGGCCAGGCGATCCCGCAAGAGACCGTGGCCTCTTTGGCCAGGCCCGATCGATGGCGCCACCTCCGCTTCGCGGGGGCCAGGCACGCATTCTTCGCGTCTGCGGCCTGACGAGACACCACATCGAGCGGTACAGGTGCAACGGCTGATGCAGCTGGAGGCGATGAGTCACGGAGGCTGGGTGAGCACACGCGGTCGTAAGGGACGAGGCACAGGCCGGGTCCAGCGTGCTCTCGGATGCACGGGTCGCGGGAAAGCCCAGACACCTGGCTGCGGCATGCCACCTCTGTTGGCGGGGGGGGGAGACAGGGGGCCAGTGCGGTCCACACGGCAGTGGCGAGCAGATAATAATCGGCAAATCGGATAAGATCAAAACGTGCACTCGACTCGGCACCACCTGCACCGAATCGGAACCGAATCGAATCTGCTGCAACAAGATGCACACCGGCGCCGTGGACGCATCAACCATCATCTGACCGTCTGATTATCGGAGTCGGAATTGAATCCGCAGCGCCAAGATACACAACGGCGCCGTGAACGCACTGGACAACATCTGATCGTCGGATTTAGGAAACCGAGTCGAATCCGCCGCGCCAAGATGCACAACAACGCCACGCACGCATCGGGCAACGTCTGACCGTCGGAGCATCGGAACCGAACCGACTCCGCCGCGCCAAGATGCACAACAGCGCCACACACGCGTCGGAACCGCATCGAATCCGCCGCGCCGAGAGGCGCGACGGTGCCACGCAGGCTCCGGGCAACACTCTTCTGCACCGGCAAACGGCCAGGGGTCGCAGGCGCGGGCGCCGCTTCCGGCAGGGCACGCCGGGCACGAGGCGCGGGAGCAGGCGGAGAGGAGGGCGGCCGCGGAGGAAGAACGCAAGAGGCGGACCGGCCGCCGAAACTCGGCGGGTGAGCGTCGCGCTGACGCGCTGACGGCCGCAGGCACCGTGGGCGGCGCGAACCCGGTGGAGCAGCAGCAGCAGCATGAGAACCCTGCCGTCAAACGCACCGGGCAGGATCCGGCTGTCGGAATGCGACGCGGCAGGCTGGCAACAGTTGGACGGCGAAACCCTCGGGGAGCTGCTGCGATCGGTCAGATCGGAGCCGCATCGGATCGGACCGACATCGAGTCGGATCGATCGGATCGAGATGGACCCTGGCGGGAGGATGCCCCGCCCCCCTCGGCGGGCCGTGGGGAGGTCGGGCGGCCCCCGCGGGCGGATGTCGCTGCACCCTGGCCGCGAGGCTGCACGCTGGGCGCCCCGTGGTAGCCCGACGAACAATTCCTCAGCCGCCCTCTCCCTCCTGCCCCTCCCTCCCTCCCTCCTGCCTCTCCCTCCCTCCCTCTTTCCTCTCCTTCCTGCTCCTCCCTCCTCTCCCTCTCTCCCTCCTCCCCCATCCTCCTCCCTCCCTCCCTCCTGCCCCTCCCCCCCTTCCTGCCTCCTCCCTTCTGGTCCTCGGTGGGGTGGGGTGGGCTGGGGTGGGTGCGTGCCGCCGCCTTCGGCGCCTGCGGCGCCGTCGCCGTCGTTGCTGTTGCCGCTGTGTTGTCTCCGTCGCCGTTGCTGTGGCTGTCCGCGCCGCCGCCGCCGCCGCGGTCGTCGGCGTTGGCGCCGCCGCCGCTCCCGCTGTCGTTGTTGTCGTCGTCGTCGTCGTTGTCGTCGTCGTCGTCGTCGTCGGCGTTTTCGTCGTCGCTGCGGCGTCGCGTTTCCCCGCCGAACCGCGAGGGCGGTCCGCCGGGTTTTGCCCCCGAGCTCCGCCGCCGGATCGGGGGCCCCTGGTCGCCAGACTTCTGTGTGGAACCGGAAAACCTGCCTGGGGGGCTGCTGGGCCTGGCCGCCGGGCGCGGCCTGTCCCTGCTGGGGCCCCCCGAGCAGTGTTCGAGGCACCGAGCGGGCCGTTGTTTGGCAGTGCGAAAACTGCCCGGGAGGCCCCGGGAGGCCCGCTGGGCCCGCCTCGGTGGCCGCGGGGCGCGGCTGGCTGCCAGGGATGTCGGGGGTGTGCCTCCAGGCCCGCCGTTGTGCGCTCCAGGCCTTTTTTTTTCGGGGTGGGCCCTGGTGGAGCGGAGGTTGGATCGCTCCTGCCTCCCTCCCTCCCTCCTTCCTCCCTCTCCTCGTCGTTTCCCTCTTGGAGGTCTGTTGGAGGTCTGCATGAAGTTTCTTGGGTCGGCGCTGGGTCCCCCTCCCCGCACCCAGCGCCTCCTCCCCAGCGCTCTGAGCGGGGGGCGCTGTTGCAGCTGTTTCCGGAGTGTGGCGACGGGGGTCGGGCCCCGACTTGGGCCTCGGCGTGGGCCCTTGGAGCCTGTCGTGGCTGGGGTGGGATTGCTTTTGGGATGGGCTGGCCGCGCGTGCCCCCCCCACTCGGATCCTCTCTCCCTCCCTCCGTCTGGCTAGCCACGTACCTACGGCGTGCGTTGGCGTATGATGGAGTCGAGACCGGGCGAGGATCCCTACCAGAGGGCCGCTGATGCCCCCTCCCCAGGAATACTCAAATCTAGCATTTGCCTTTTGGCCTTGGGCGTGGCACCTCCCCCGAGGGAACCTGGGAAACTGCGGGAGGTTTGGGCGCGGTGGCACGCAAGTCCTCGCACCCTCCCCCTCTCTTCCAGGGCTGCTTCCCGAGAGTGGTCTCATCCATCCCTTGGCTGACGTTCCTGGGTTGCTGTCGGTCGCCGGTTGGGCCCCGCAGCTCTCCACTAAAGGGACTGAGCCCGCAGTCCCAACATGCCATCTCGCTGAGGGGTCACCAACCAACCAAGCAACATCTCACTCCATCCCTCTTTTCTCTCCCTCCTGTTCCTCCCTCCTTCCTGTGCGTAGGCCGCCTAGCTTTTATCGGAAGAGGTTCGCTCTCGCCCCGCAGACCAAAAACTGTTCCTCCCTCCTCTCCCTCCTCCCTCTCCTCCTCCTCCTCCTCCTCCTCCTCCTCCTCCTCCTCCTCCTCCTCCCTCCCTCCTGTTCCTCCCTCCTCCCTCCTGCCTCCTCCTTGCACCAATCCCACACCTCCGAGGCGACGCGTGCACACGCTGAAGGGCAAGCACAGCCATCCAGGACACTCCCAAAACGTGGGGCACTCCCAAAACGGTGGACACTCCCAAACCGTAAGGAGGGCCACGCGACCAGAACACCGAAACTCGACATCGGGGTGGGATGAGAGATGGAGGGACGGGGAGAGGAGGGGAGGGGTGACGGAGGAGGAGGAGGAGGAGGAGGAGATCGAGTAGAGGGGGAGAAAAGGAGGAGGAGGCCGAGAGAAGGGAAGGGGTGATCGCCCCGCAAAGGCAATACCCAGCCTTCCCCAAGCTCCACCGCCTCCACCTGCCCCCAACCTCCACCCTCACAAACCCTCACCCTCACCCCATGGCCTAACATCCACCCTCACCTCAAGCCCCTCCGCCCACAACCTCCCTTGTTCAGTCCACCCCGTGCGCGAGCTCACCAGCCCGCCCAAGCGAAAGCCCAGCCGCACACGCTGACTACAGGCCCCTCCCAACTGGGCCCCTCCCACGCACCGCTGCCCAACGCCGCCTCAAACACCCACAGGCGGCTGGACCGCCGCCGCCAAGAGCAACAGACCGGAACCGAAACCGCTGCTTCGCAGACCTCTCCGCGGGTGCGCTCGGACCAGAACTGCGTGGCGAACCCAGCGGTGGCGACGAGAGCCTCCCGGGAGGCCCCCAGGAGGCGAAGGCGAGAGAATGGTGGCGGCATGGGTACTCTTTCCTCCTCGAAGCGCCTGCGCCCGCCACCACGACCTCCACCTGCCACCAATGCACAGGGCACGAGGCTGAGTGCAGACGGCTCTGGAACCAGGAGCCCTGGCCCCCGTCGTGCTCGTCTCCTGTCCGTCCTCCTCCCCTCTCTCCTTCGCATCCTCTCTGCCTCCATCCCTACCTCCACCTCCTCCCCCTCCTTCTCCTCCTCCTCTTCCTCCTGTTACTCATCATTATCCGTCGACCTCTTGTGGGTCTCCAGGCGTATGAGATTGTTCCGCCCCCCGTAATC